TGAAATAATTACATAGTCTCAATTTGTATCAAATTACCATTAAGAGTTACAATTACAATACATGGCCATGATTTTCAAAACGAATATACTTTACAAAGATTTGAGACTTTACAAAAGAATGGCAAATAGACAAAAGATGTCAAAAATGGATTTATATTCCTCCTTATGCCTGTGAAAGGTTGGCATCCACTACATCCTTTCCGAGCCTTGAAAAATGTTAAATATGAAGGGATGAGCAAAATTGCTCAGTAGGTAATACCTAAGACGCACATCTTGTGTCCTTGTGAATTCAAATAATAAATAGGGATAGAGGATAAGGGTCATGCTTTACCCTGAAGGAGTACAACATTAATTCCAAAATCAAAATAAATAATGTTGTGCCATCAAATGCGACGCTATGTATGTCGCTCTCCATATCTAATTCACTTCAATTCTTCACTTTTCAAACCGTTAACGTAACCCGTCTCTTAGTATCCCCTTGGCGACACGAGAGAGGGATTGGCTACTGTCTTTGACCCTTGGTAACCCCGTGGTGTCATTTAGGGCCCAAATAGCTCAACTACACTAGGGCGATCTCTCTAGTTCCCTCTAGGCTACATTAACGCCATGAACCCTCTGTACCCCCTTGGCGTCCGAGTTTTCACAAAATCCTTTTCTCAAATATTTTTCCAAAAAACCCCTTTTTTATTCACTTCAAATTCCTTTTCCCTTTTCTTTCATGCCCAATGCCATGAATGCATGTTACATACTTTTCCAATAATATGAAAATAAAGGAAATTTACACTACACAATTTTACATGCTTCTTCATAGCAATTTCTAGAAAACTTATAAACACCACAAGCATGAAAATTAACATTTAGGCATGCTTATCACATAATTCCATCAATACATATAATCATAAACTTCAAATACAACAATTACATCATTTTAAGGGCAATCAACTTAAATTAAGCATGCTTGACATCAAATTTTGAAAGAAAATTCACAAGAGAACAAGAAATTAGGAATTAGGAACTCCTACCTCAAGACAAGCAAAAACCCCCAATTTGTGTCCTAGATCACGAAATTCTTTGTGTGCACCAAACAAAGAATTGCTCTGATTAAATTGTAGATCTCGATGCGCTCTTTAATTTGTCGCAAACGGCATCAAAAATCTCTCAATGGTTTAAGAGAAATCATGATTTAAAGCTTTAAGGACAAAGAAAAAGAAAAAGGAATTGAGAGAGAGAGAGAGACCCGTAGAGAGAGAGAGGGTGAAGAAATGAGGTCAAAAATTGGCCTCTTGCCCCTTTTTCTTAAATAAAATGGTGGGTCCCACCTTTTATTAATAAAAATTTTCTTTTCCCTTTTTATTCCTACCACAAAATATATATATAATCACATATTAAATCACAACCACATGCAACACATTAAATAAAAATGAACATGATGCAATTGGACCCAACCAATACTCCCGTACATGACAAATTCTGGTAACGAGTCCCACAAGGGACCGTCCGGGCCGAAAAATTGAAAATACACAAAACGAGAAAAGATGAAAATACGCTCGAAAAACAGAAAATTCCAGAAATTGGAAAATGGAAAATTTTGGAAACATTACAATTAATCGCTAATACTTAACGGGTTACTCGAACCACTCCTCCCAAGATCAACAATCTACACGCCTAATCAAGGAAACTTCACATTCTAGCTTCAACATCATTACTTCTTCTCTTCACTATCCATTAGAACAGCCTTGGCCCCGACAAATATCAAATAGAGCTACCAGCTAAACTTATGATAGCACTCTCGTCCCAATAATTCTAATCAACAGTCTATCTCTTTGAATCCTCAAACAACAAGTACTACCTCCCGATACTCCAGCCATAACTGGAATACAACTCCTATCTACATCTTTCAAATTCTAGGATGCAATACACAGGGTAACATTGTACTCACCATCCACTACCTCATCCGCAAACAACCGAACGCTTTAACGACCACACACTATCTGCCTTATCGTGCAATCCTGCACCATCCAGCTAAAACTGGCCACCATCCCTTATCTTGAGACTCACTCAACATCCGTGCCACTCAATTAACTCACCGAGAGTCGAAACATCCATTACATACCTCCGTAGGTCTCCATGGAACAAGATCCATTTTTCATCATATCTAAGGGATTTCTTGATTCGGGCTGAAGAAACAATGTTACTCACTCAATTATTATCAAACTGATTGCAATATTTTTCTGTCGGTGAAGGACTAATCCATACATATGTGGGTTGGTAAAGGGATATGTAAGGTGTGTCGTGCAAGAAATCCTAAACCCTAATATATATGTAATCTAAAACTTCTCACTATCACAAATTGTGTAAATCTTTGACATCGTATGCTTATCTTTTACAATAGTACAAATGAAAGTTAAAATCTTCTAATTAATAACCACTACTTGGGGGAAGGACAAATGAGCATCTTCTCCTTCTGGTACAAAAAATTTCCATATCGAAACATGTTCTTGGAATTTTCCTATCTTCATGCACGGCATTGTAATCTTTAAATTTGTTTTTACTTTTGTATCATTAGCTACTTTAATACATTTGGTAGGATTGTTAAATTGGAGATTCCAACTTAACAAAGGCAAAAGATATCCACTGCTAGTTTGAGACACTAACTGAATAGATGATCTACCTCCTGTATATATATATATATTGTTAAATTGGAGATTCCAACTTAACAAAGACAAAAGATATCCACTGCTAATTTGAGACACTAACTGAATAGATGATCTACCTACTATATATATATATATATATATAGGAGGTAGATCATCTATTTAAGACAAAAGATATCCACTGCTAGTTTGAGACACTATATATATATATAGGAGGTAGATCATCTATTCAGTTAGTGTCTCAAACTAGCAGTGGATATCTTTTGTCTTTGTTAAGTTGGAATCTCCAATTTAAAAATCCAACCAAATGTATAACACACACACACGCACGCACATATAAATATATACATACACATACATAATATCCATACATATATGCACGCACATATAAATCTATCTTACAATAGAAGTATTCACAATAATTTACCCAAAAAAAAAAAAAATTAGAGTGGCCTTTTACATTGCTGTTCCTATTGGCTATTTTTAAATTTATTAATTCATTGTCTCCTTATTTAATAGGACACTAAAAATATGCATTTTTTAAGATAAAAATATCCTTTTAAGTTTTAAATTTTTTTTTCCTATATTGATTCACATATGTACACACACACATATATATAAATGTATAAATAATTAGGTAACTTTTTATTTTAATATTTATTACTTATCAAACTTTCCTTTATCTCTAAATTGTAATTTTAATTTTTATATTTTTTGTGGAAACCTCCCATAGATTAAATTCCACCATATTATTTGACTAAAATTTACATTACATTCATATTATTTGACTAAAACTTACAATATTAATGATCCACATATAAAGCGTATGTATGTATGTATGTATGTATGTCGTAATATAATATAATATAAAGAATACATAAAAGGTTCCAACCTGAATACATTCATAACAGTAATGTTGCCTGAATCAATATGTATGGAAAAGCTAGAGTCTTTATTAGTTGCCAAAAAAAAAGGGGATTCGACCTTCCCAAAAAAAAAAAAAGGTATCCTTTGTAAGATTAGCTAGGAATGTCTTTCTATGCTTACATGGATTAATAAAATTATGTCATGTGTCAAATTTTTTTAAAAATAATTAATAAAAATTGTTTGGATCTTTTTACGGATCATCCAAACAAAAAGATTTTTTTTTTTTTTTTTTTTTTTTTCCTCATACCTTTAAGATTTTTTATTCCAACCCTTCATATTGCAATCCGTTACAAAAGAAGCTAAACAATTAACCAATGAAATCAATTTGGCTTCAGATTGCAACAGGTAGTGATAAATCTCAAAATTTTGAATGCCACTAGAGTTATGTGTATTTATTAATTGGTTGGCCTCTAGTCATTCTAGAAATGGGGTTGCAATAGAGATGACAGACAACGAATGTGAGGGTTTGAATCATCTCTAATGATTGGATGTAAAATATTAGGGCTTGAAAATAGAGGAGGTGGCACGCAGTGGAGACCGACAAGTAGTGGAGGTGGTGGAGGCCGGTTGGCAAAAGATGTAGAACCATCTATACCTAAGTCAATAAGCCTCCTTTTAATCCGTACATTTCATATGATGATAACATTATTCAAGCAATAGCTCAGCTAGTACAAATTCATCTTTCTTAAAGGGAGGTTGGGGTTTGAGTCTCGTTAGAGACATGAATACGTGAGTTTGCTTAATCTTCCAAAAAAATAATAATAATAATAAATAATAATAATAATAATAATAATAATAGCATGATCTATTTATATGTAGTTAACCTTTGTTTGGTGATGGCTACGATACCGAATAAAATTCCCTATAAATAAGCCAGCAAATTATAAAAGATACCAATTCATCCAAAGTTTGTTTGGATTCAGACCGTTACCAACCCACCAATATTTTTGACGTTACTACAAATTCAAAAAGTGCCTTGAATAACAACATAATTCAATAAGAAGCTGACAAATACTATATATATATATATATTCAAATACTGTTTGGATTGAAGATGATGGGCCTCCTCTTAATTGTTTTTTATTTGGATATTTTATCAGCTTAATGAAGAATCTCGATCGGCAGCCATGCATTCAAACAAATGCCATTCAAATAAAAGGTTCTGTCGCAATGTTCATTTTTCCTTAATATATATTCCTTTCTGTCATTATTTACAAAATCCATATAGGGAAAAACAAACAAACAAAAAAATGGTGACAATTATCTATATATATATAGACATATGCATAGGTATATATAATATATTACACAAGAAAATATATATAACAAATTTTTAACTTCAGCCTATATATATTGGGATTCTGAGTGAGGGGGTCGGTATCCATATAGAAAGTTTTTGGCAGTTGAGGAGGTGATATAATGGGGCGATGCTATTTGTTGTTTGGAATACTTGTACTTGCTGGGTTTCTACCGTCCTCATCACTCACCACCACACGGCGTTTTCAATTCATTGTAAGCACTCTCTATCTAGTTTTATACAATACACAAGCACCCCAACATGAATCGAAATACTCTGTGGAACGAGAAAAACTTCTTTATGCACATTGCATTGTCAACAGGCACATTTCGCATGTATATTACACGCATGATAATGAATGGTTGGATGTGCCCGTTACAATGACCCAAGAAAATTTTCTCCTCCAGTACTCCATTTTTCATATGTATATTTACGCAAGAAAGTTTTCTCCTCCAGTACACCATTTTTCATATATATATTTACAACATTTATTGAAAATTTCAAACAGTGAATTTCATATATATATATATATATATATATATATATATATATGTTGGGGATAATTAACTCCCTCCAATCCACTCAACGGTTGGCTGTTATTGAGAGTTAAATCCCTCCTTCATCATACACAGCGAAAGTATCATCACATCATATTAACATAAGCATATATAGAGATAATAATCATATACATCTACGCACAACACAATATTTTACATGATTCATCCAACTCTAGGGTTACGTCCAAGGGAGAGAGGAATTTCACTATTATGAATCAAGGAAGAGAATATACAACCACATGTCAAAACCCCACTCACTCACTCATTATCTCTTTTGAGGCTACATGTATACACTCGGGAATTACATATACTCTCCCCTCTCCTCACAACACTCATCCTTAAACCCCTTACGCCTTTTCTCTCTTCTCTCTCTATCTCTAAACCCCTCATACCCATTTCTATTTATAGAGTCTTCAAAACTCAATTCCTTGTTGGACAAGTATTCCTCAAATCTAATTTCTTGTTGGACAAGGATCAACTTACCTACAAGGAGTTACCATATCCATCTTCAACTCTAAAATAGTAGATATAACTTCTTTCCCAAATCTTTATCCTTTTTTCCCAAGTCTTCTGGATTCCAAAACCAATCAGGAAACTATTTCTCGCAGCTTCCAAAACAAAAAAGGAAACTAATTTTCTGCACACAAATTTTCAGCCACAAACCCAACAATCTCCACCTTGGCTCAAAATTCAATCTTCATGTACTTCTCCATAGCTCCACCTTGAATAAGTTTCTCTTCATAACTCCACTTCAACTGAAGATTTTTCCACCTCAAATAAAGCACTATGATGAACTTGAGAAACACTCTATCAATCTCCACCTTTTCTCAAATTCATCATTCTTCATTTTTTCTTCTATCTTCTCTATCCACCCCATTAGTGTTCAGTTGCTCACGCATGGCAACCCACCAATCTTCAACTCATCTTCATCAATTGCTTTTCTAGCCAAAGCAACAAACCTCTCATCTTCACTCTTCATACTCCCCTTTGCTCTTTATCGGGCTCAGAGCAAACCCCTTCATTCTTCATACCCCTTGCCCCATCTTAAAAACTAACACCCACTCTTGACTTGTCCTCAAAACTTGTTCCTCGTGGGATTCACCTCTATCACCTTTGCCCCATCTTGAAAACGAGCATCCTCTGGCTTGTCACAAAACTTGTTCCTCATGGGCTTCACACCATCACCTTCTTCGTACCTTCGTGTTATCATCAACTTTGATTGAATCTCCATAGCACCTCACTATCATTCTCTACTCTGACAAACTTCGCAGCAATCTTCTTCTACTGATCTTCAAGACCAATCACAGGCTCTGACCCACCATCGGCTCTAATACCAGTTGTTGGGGATAATTAACTCCCTCCAACCCACTCAACAGTCGGCTGTTGTTGAGAGTTAAATCCCTCCTTTATCACACACAGCGGAAGCATCATCATATCACATTAACACAAGCATATATAGAGATAACAATCATACACATTCACGCACAACATAATATTTTACATGGTTCACCCAACTCTAGGGTTACATCCATGGGAGAAAGAAATTCACTATTATGAATCAAGGAAGAGAATATACAACCACATGTCAAAACCCCACTCACTCACTCATTATCTCTTTTAAGGCTACATGTATACATTCGGGAATTACATATACTCTCCCCTCTCCTCACAACACTCATCCTTAAACCCCCCACATCTTTTCTCTCTCTCTCTAAACCCTTCATACCCATCTCTATTTATAGAGTTTTCAAAACTCAATTCCTTGTTAGACAAGTATTCCTCAAATCCAATTTCTTGTTGGATAAGGATCAACTTACCTACAAAGAGTTACTATATCTATCTTCAACTTTAAAATAGTAGGTATAACTTTTTTCCCAAATCTTTAATCTTTTTCCCCAAGTCTTCTGGATTCCAAAACCAATCAGGAAACTATTTCTCGCAGCTTCCAAAACAAAAAAGGAAACTAATTTTCGACACACAAATTTTGAGCCACAAACCCAACAATATATATATATATATATATATATATATATATATATATATATATATCACTAATGTTGTAATTTAGTGGTACATGGTCGCGCGAAAGTATACAATATCTGGGAGAACTAACTGTTAGTTCCTCTGGCTAATGAAACTCTCAATTTGTCTTGCATACTAGAAATGAGGAGTTTTTAAGAAGTACGATTGTGCATTGGTTAGAGGTACCATATAGTAATTACTCTGGGTATTGTATACTTTTGTCTTGCTCACCTTTCTAAGTAGAAAACGCAGAGTTATAAAGCCCATAGGTGCACAATGGGTGAGTGGTTGAGTTTCTTGCAAGGTACCGATAAGAAAAAGAAAAAGAAAAAGAAAAACATATATTATGGGATTTGCTGAATTAATTTCAGGTTGAATGGAAAAATGTAACCCGTTTGTGCCATACAAAAGCACTGCTAACAGTGAACGGGGAGTATCCAGGGCCAAACATAGCTGTTCAAGAAGGTGATAGTGTTGAGATTAAGGTCACTAACAGCGTTGCCAGGAACACTACTATCCATTGGTGAGTGTTTTTTTTTGTTACACAAACATTTAATTATTACTATTAGTGAGTGTAAATTATTTTTCTGTACTATATATTATCATATTTCCTAGTCAAACTAGTGTTAACCAACTGGATTATTATTAAATTTTTTTGTACATATATGCTTTTCTTTTTGTTATTAGTATATTTTATCTTTTTGTTATGTAATTACTGACTCACCATGCAATTAAAGAGCAAGAAGAAGAAGAAAAATTAGATTCACAAGTTTTTTGAATCCCAATTATTATTATTATTATTTTATATCTTTGTTTTTTTATATACACTCTACACATGTTTTCTGGACTGTTGTGTGTGTGTATATATATATATATATATAGACTATTTATGTTTGTCAAATCAATTAATTTTTTTTTTTTTTCTGAATAGTTTGTGAAATCTTTCACACAAATATATATATATATATATATATATATATATATATATATATATCTCATTAGACTAGACTCTAAAGAATCTTTGTATAATAGCTACACTATTATATATTTTTATAGACATATACTACGCATGTGTGTAGATATATACACACATACAGTGGTCACACTAGAAACACCAGGGAACCTGAAAGCATCTTCATTTGAAAATTCCGTATTATATTCATTTAACTTCCCTTTGGCCCCCTTTTGTTTTTTATATTCAAATCGCTTCAAATGATAACAACCAAATCAAAATATTTTTTAGCTACCTACACTATGAGTATTGGAGAGAGTTTGGGCCTAAGTCAAATAGAACGAAAGTTAGAGTTGGAACAAATTTGAGAGTATCTTATGTGAAATAAAAAAATTTAAGGCATACAAAATAAAAATGAGTGAGAGCGCGCCCGAGGAGTGAAAACGGGAGTATATTTATAAGGTGCGAACAACACGTATTAGAAAAAATTGTGTAACTTAGATTTGGACCAACATAAGATCATTGTACAGATCGAAGCACAAGAGAAGATATTGATAAGAGAACGACCTACCAACCTACCAATTGTATAAGCATGTATTCATGTGATTAAAAACAAATAAGAGCAAGTCTACGATGAGCTCGTGATTTTATCTATCAACTAAATGATGGTATCATCCAAAATATCTAAATGATGATGAGGAGAGCTAGATCATCAAAGAGGCGGCCCTCATGGTCGATATTTTATTAAATAAAATAATTTCAAAATATTTAAGGGAGGAGATAAATGTAGACTCTCATTTAAAAGGAATAACACTTGTAATCCTAACTTTACTATTACTTATTAATAAATTTTTTATTATTTTTTTAAATTATATGATTACCTTCCATATATGATTAGTCATCTCCCTCTCTCTCCAATTTTTAATTAAAAAAAAAAGGACCTAAAAAAGAAAAGAAGTTTGCTCTAAGTAATAAACTATCTCTGTTAAATAAATTAGTCTCCAAAGGCTGAGACTCAAATTCTCCCACTTCTGATTCCCTAAGTACTCCCTCCATCCCAATTTAAGTATCGTTATTGTGACCGTGACTCACAAATAGTTTAGCAATAATAAATTGTTTAATTGTTTTCAAATTGTACTTGAAATGTTGTTGCAACATTGAGCCACTTTTACGTTGGAAGAAAAACATTGAATAAGTTTTGAGCATTACTCAGCGCAGCCTTACCAATCTCTCATATTAACAATTTGGACTGATATCAGGTTGTATTTGGCTGAATAGAATTGAAGCTTTGGAAATGGAATTGGTAGAATTAGAGAAAATTTTAGTTCAATTTTGTTAATTAGTTACTTTTATCCAATTTCAATTCAAAACTCCAATTTTATGCTGCCGAATATAACTTCAGTGTCCCCAAAAATATATGCATTTTTTTGTGTATACATGGGCCTAACATATATGCATGTTTTGTTTGTACAAAGGCATGGAATAAGGCAGCTAAGAACAGGATGGGCGGATGGTCCAGCTTATGTTACACAATGCCCCATCAGAGGAGGGCAGTCCTATACTTACAAGTTCAGTGTGATCAACCAGAGGGGAACTCTTCTTTGGCATGCCCATCTCTCATGGCAACGAGCTTCAGTCCATGGTGCCTTCATTATCTACCCACGCATGCCCTACCCATTCTCTCCACCACTATTTGAAGCTCAAATACCCATTATATTTGGTAATTAGAGGACTTGTCTTTTATTTTTTGTTCTTTCATTTGATTAGGCCATGCCTATTGAACATCACATGAGAAGCTTGTGTTTGTGTGTGTACTTTTATTGTGTTGTGAATACAGGTGAATGGTGGAATGCAGATATAGACGCAGTGGAAAATGAAATGATGATGTATGGGGGAGGGCCAAATTCTTCAGATGCTTACACCATTAATGGCTTGCCAGGACCACTCTACCCTTGCTCTAACAAAGGTCTATATATATATATATATATATATCATATAATTAAAATAGTGGACTACCTATACCAGTCCCTTAATTTTGACATTAGAATCTGTAGTTTAATTCACTACCCCTAATTCTCAATAAAAATCAATGGCGCATGCAGATACTTTTATCCAGACTGTGGAGCATGGCAAAACCTACTTGCTTAGACTCATTAACGCAGCACTCAATGATGAGCTCTTCTTCGCAGTGGCCAACCATACATTGACTGTTGTAGAGATTGATGCAGTTTACACAAAACCCTTTATAACCACAGCCGTAATGATCGCTCCTGGACAAACCACCAATGTCCTTCTCAATACAAATCATCAATATTCCTCTCATGCACCCACATTTGCAATGGCAGCCAGGCCATATCTCACTTCTGTTTTCCCCTTCGATAATTCTACTACAATCGGCTTCTTCAAGTACAAACACAACACAACAATGAGCACCAAAAAAACTACTACTGCTACTACTATTACTATGCCTCACAACCTTCCTCGAATGGAAGATACTGCCTTTGCCACTCAATTCGCAGACAAGCTTCGAAGCCTTGCATCTGCTCAGTACCCTTGTAACGTGCCCAAAATGGTGGACAAGCGAGTGATCATAGCTATAAGTCTTAATCTTCAAGACTGTACTGCTAACCAAACTTGCAAAGGCTACAATGGGAAGAGATTCTATGCTTCAATGAACAACCAATCATTCATCCGTCCACCCATGTCATTACTGGAAGGCTATTACCGTAACCTCACCACCGGTCCTTACTCCACCGGTTTCCCAGAGAAGCCGCCAAGAACATTTGACTATACAGGCGTGGATCCCTTGACGGAAAATATGAATGCCGAGTTTGGTACGAAGCTCTTGGCAGTGCCTTATGGCACCAAGTTGGAGATAGTGTTCCAGGATACGAGTTTTCTTAACGTGGAGAACCATCCAATCCATGTCCATGGTCACAACTTCTTCATTGTTGGGAGGGGATTTGGAAACTTCGACTCTGCCAAGCACTTGGGACAATACAATTTGGTTGATCCTCCTGAAAGGAACACAGTGGCAGTTCCGATTGGGGGATGGGCAGTGATCCGATTCAAGGCAGACAATCCAGGAGTATGGTTCATACATTGCCATCTCGAGGAACATACTTCATGGGGCCTTGCCACCGGCTTGATAGTATACAATGGTCCGGACCCATCTCAGTGGTTGCTCCCTCCCCCTCAAGATCTTCCCGAATGCTGATCGAGGTCATCTTTGATATATATAAGTATATATCCATCCATCCATCCATCCATCCATCCATATAATTTTGGTTTGAGATCTCATTTCTCATGTATTATTTTGAAATGGTTAATATGCAAAAATTGGAGTATATCGTAGCTAGGTTTGTACTGATCGAGTAGTAATTTTGTGTCTCTTCTTCTTGAGAAAATTTCATGTTAATGGATCTTCATGTTTGGATCGATCCCTAAGTTATGCTCTGATATTGTAAGAAGTTGTCACATATATATTATAGGTGTGTACAAAATCTCGGACCAGCGTATGAACCCGAACCAAAGATCTTTTCCTACCAACACTTTAACAGATATTTTTACAAAAAAGAAACGAATGAATTGCACAAAAGCGAAGGTAGCATTCGGAGAAATTGCTTTGACTTTATTGGGTTCTTAAGTTGTTTCTCTAGACCTCGTGTAAAAATTTATAAATACTTAATAAAAAATGATATAATAATAAACATGATCGAATTATACATTCAAAATTAAAACTCGGGGAATCAAAACCAAACTTTGAGGAAAAAAAAAAATACTTTAAAAACAAATTTGAAATTTTGAATAATGAAAATAAAAATTAGATTTGAAAATTTATTATCAAATAATAGAAAAATCTCAAGGGAAAGAATCCACCACCATAAATCAATATAAATAATTTTTTATATTTCTTAGATAATTTTTTTCTCAAGCAAATTACTTCACCAGTCTAATTACAACTTAGAAAGATGAAGTAAAATATGATATTAGATAACAACGGCTTATATGAGAGAATTTATTTAATCTGTTTCAGCGTTGCAAAAAAAAAAAAAAAAAATACAAATACAAATAGAAGTAGGCATTCTTTGTATTACCATTACTTAGCAAACACAAAGAATCCTCCCCTAAAAATTTCACATAAAAAACCTAGAATAAAAGAATAAAATCAATACTCTCAAGAGAAAATTTCATACAAGAATTAAACTAAATTTATTTATATTTCAGTCATTGTAGCTTCATCACTCCCTTGAAAAGGGGTGTTTAAGCTAGCAGACTAACAAAACAAAAAACAACACATAGAAAAAAAAAAAAAATACTTTTCATAGAATGGAAAAAAAGAATTACAAGAAAGATGCAAAGCAATATAAAACCTCCAATACTCTCTCTATTTTGTCACCCCCCTTTCTACATCCTTCTGTCCTATTTATAAAGTTTAGAATGGAACAACTGACAGGGAAAAACAAAAAAATTCAAATTCAAATTACATGAGTGAAAATAAAATAAAAAATATATAAGATCTTGTTGCTTTCTAATTTGACTTGATATGCTTTCCAATTGGGTAATTTACATGGACCTCCCCTATAGTTTACAGTAATTACCCGAACCTCCCCTGTGGTTTGGGAATTTACTCAAACCTTCTTTAAAAATGAAAATATCTATAATAACCCAAACTCGGGGGTCCAAATCGCTAACCGGGTCCTTACCCGAACCCGAGGTCACACATGAGTACTATGGTCGATCATTTCATGTCATTATAATAGTTCTAGAGTCCATAAGGGTATAGCGATCATTTACCGTAGTCAAATAATGGTTTAGGGCCCATAACGGTAAAATAGTCATTTGGTAAATTTATTATGGTTTCATAACTCATCAGGGGTAAAACTGTCATTTTCTATAGTCATTTTATGCTTTGGTTGAAGTTTGGGGATACTTAGGTGATTATATTGAAATATGGGGTCATAATGGTGTAAATATCAGTTCATCTACCCGAGTAGAATATTTCATCTAATCAGGTAGATGAATGGTCCAATAGGTGTGTAAAACTGAAGAGTTCATCTAACCGGGTAGATGGAAGCATCTATCTGGCTAAAAATCCATCTAACCGAGTAGATAATTCCATCTAACCCCCCTTTCTGCCCATTCATCTAACCGGGTAGATGGCCATCTACCCAGTTAGATGGGAGACGCCCATCAAATCTAAGCACTGCCCATTCATCTAATTGGGTAGATACCCTTATCTAACCGGTTAGATGATGCCCATTGATGAAATGGTCGAAATGTTTACTTTCCAAACCAATTCAAATGCAACCCTAAAGCAACTAAACAAGAAAATAAAACTCCATGAACATCATCAACTTTTAAACATTTCATTGAATCATCAAAATAACATTATTCATACATCTTTTGTGAATCAAAATCATCTTAAAACATTCATATATGTCCAAAAGAATAAGTTTACAAAACAATGAGGTCTTCATGGCCATAATCACAAAGCCTTTACTTGAAACTAACAAAAGAATAAAGTTATGTACATTTGTTCATTGTATATGCAATTATATTATAAAAGATATCAAAAGTCTATCTATCTACTTCAAAGCTTGGGGGGGTGCATGTTCTACAATTTCCTTGCCATGTCCTGAAAATGATAAATAAGGGGTGAACACAACGACTCAGTAGAAAATGCCTAAAACATTGGCTTTGGGCTCCCTTGAGTCAATAACCAAAGAACGGTTAAGAGAAATCGGGGTCATGCACGGGAACGGCAAAAAACAGTTAGACAGTATAATCAATTCAAGGCAACATTCTTAACAGCTATCCCATATACATGGATGCAAAAATGGTATGAAATGCACCACTATCTCGACCCTTGTCACGGTCCAACCCAACTCACATAGAAAACCGCTAATCGACTTTACCGAGCCGAGATTGACTACAATCTGCGATACTCCTCAAATCCGAGACATGGGTTGATCAGGCCCAAGCCTAAACCCGAGAGAATATCAAACAATTAAAGTATTTAACAAGCACAGAGTACAAAATAGATTTAAGAATAAAGAATAATAGCTGAAAGAATACTAAATAATAAATCCCCATTAATTAATACAACAATCAACCTCCAATAACTAAATCCTCTTATACCAGTAATTAATTAAAAGTACAACTTGAGAATCCATCATGTGGACCCCTAATCCAAAATCCAACTGAAATACTAAAAATCCAAAACTAAAACATAAAGAAGGAAATCCTACATAGAGTCAGAGGAGTGAATAGACTGTCTCTACTCAGCACGAACAATTCCTAAGTCTGAAACTGACGAACACCTAAAAAATAATGGTGGTCAAGCCCACAAATAAGTTCTAATCTACTACATTCCAATCAGAGACTCAGAACTCATATACATCCTAGTTAATTCAACAATAACTAATAGCCCATATATGTATATATACACACTAAAGGAACCTCACTAGACTATAGGATTGCCTCAACCTGAATAGTAGGCAACATGCAAAATGCACATATAGTGGGCATGAGTACTTAGACCTTCCAGGGCACACAACTATACTATATCTAGCTACACATCCCTGGCAATATATGCATCCTAACCACTGATGCTGAGACACAAGCTCATAGCATGGCTCATAACTAAATATATATAAAGTCCATCATATCGAAACCATAAAATAAATATCCAGTATGTCATCCAATTTATTTAGTGGTCTGATATGAAAATAAGTAGGATTTAACTTTCTAGTTAATCCGTTCCCTTATAAATACGAATAGGTAGGACTTAACATTTTTAGTTAATCCGTCCCTGGAATGCCACCATCTCATACTAGTCTATTCTATCCATAAAATCCAATAGTTAATGAAATAATTAAAACAATCCATCAATTAATTCTAGAATATAAGCATGATAAAATTTGATAATATAAATGATTATATTATACTGCAAATTCATGATTAAGATCATATAGCATCCACATAAATTCCTAGATTAAATTTTAAGCAATTTAAATCATCCATTAACAACATACAAATTTATAAAAAATTCATATTATTCAAATCATTAGCATAATAATTTAAATTATGCATTCCAATCTTCCATGAATCTATTTTAAACAAATTTAGAACATGTAATAACAGATTTGCATCACAGAACCAAAACCCATCCTTGTGCCAAAACGGTCGACCGAAGTTCCAAACCGATTGGCTGATAAAGCTATTTCGGTTGTCCGAAACCCAAAACCAGTCGACCGAAATACCAACCTATCCTACTTCTCTGAACCACTTTGGTCGACCAAAATACCAAACCAGTCGACCGATGCATGCGGCCATTCATTTTATTCGTTTTCGACGAGCTCTGCTTCATTTAACCTCCATTGTTACAGGTCTTAAGCATTAATTTTACTTCCTAGAGTGTTCCATAATTGATTTTAGAGCATATAAATATCTTTACATCAAATTAAATCACAGGTCATACATCATATCATTAAATCATGTAAAAACTATACAAACCCATTACATATATAAACATACTGTGAAATTCATATTTTATTATGCAAATAGGTTCAATTAATTTAATTACACATCCTATAATTAATCTAGGTTTTTACAGATTATGAATCAAAGGAGAAGAGAAGAAATATAATTTGCTTTTAAGGATTTGATTCCTTCTTCCTCTCTCTCTTCCTTCTTTCTATCTCTAAACCTTCTGCCTTTTTCTTTAAAATTATATCACGTATATATTTTAGCCCCTTCTATACACATATAGTTATATATTTATAGGCTAAATAAAATAACCCTAATCCTTTTCCCAATCTAAGTCAACTTAATAAAAGACAATAATAAAATTAAAATATTAAAAAGGTAACTAAAAATATATTACGTACATAATCTTTGTATATCCTTACCAATGCATTAGGTCATTCCTCTCCCTCCTTTCAACTGAGTGAAAAGGCTTCGAAAAAAGAACTTTTTCTCACAACCACTTATTATACAAATATATAAAATATATATATCAGATTATTAATACTAAGTTACAATAATATTAAGTAATAAATTACTTTTCTTTAATATATATACATATAAAATATCCATGGGTAATTATTGTACCCATCAAACCCCTTATCTAAGTAGTCCATGGGACCTAATTAGTTGGCCCATTACTACTAACCATATCCATAAAATAAAATAAACTAAAATAAACATTTAATC